TGGAATATATCGTAAATCTGGTCCTTGAAGCCTCGGCTCAACATCTCATCGGCTTCGTCCAGCACAAACATCTTGATGAATTTGGGTGCTGTGGAAAGAAAGGGAGGAAGGAAGGAAAGAAAGGAAGGAAGGAAAATCAGGCAGGAGGAAGCTGACCAGGAGGAGGAGGAGGAAGAGGAGGAGGAGGAGGAAGCTGCCGGTCTCAGGGATGTTATCCAGGTATGATCACTTTCCCCTTGGGATTCCTCCCCCCCTGCCCAGCAGGACGCGGGACGGGGGGGGATAAATGGAGGGGTCAGATGACACGCATGGGAGAATCATCATGGAACAGCAGCAGCAGGAGGAGGAGGAGGAGGAGGAGGAGGAAGGAGGGCAGCCAGGTTCCCGAGAACCATTGGCAGAGAGGAAGGAAAGGCAGTCCTTCGACTTACAACATTCCCCTTAGGGACCGTTCGAGGTCACGGGATCACGAGCTCCATGGGGCAAAAAAGCCCTGAAACCTGGTTACTATCTTATCAAGGGCACAGACTCGCAAGAGCCTTGGGAAACGAGAGGCCCAAGGCAAGGCTCTCGTGCCGTGTCTTGGAGCCTCCTGTGTGGGTAGAGCGAAATGGGGGGGAAACCCCCCCCCAGTATCTCCCTGTGCCCCCATTAAGAGCGGACTCTTAACGAGGAGGTTAATATGTCCTTCTTTGAAAACTTCAATGAAATTAAAAAGGGGGGGAAAACCACGGAGAATCTGACTTATATATGCTATGTAGTCTTAAAGGGATTATTGAGTTTAATGTTCTAGGTAATAATGCTAAATGTTTAATGGGATTTAAAATTAATGAATATGTAACTTGGAGGTGGGCCCACTTATACTGAGATTTCAAGGGGGGAAACCGATTTATAGAAGTGTTTTTTTTTTAAAGCTTTTATTTTTGTAAGACAAACATATACAAACAAAACATAAAACCACCTTCCATTTTATATACATACAGTGTGTCAGTTGGTTACGGATCTTTTGTGCTAGAAGTGTTTTCTAACTAGAATTTAAGATGAAATATACAAATGTGATAATTAAAAGTTCTAAAAATTCTATCAAGGGAGACCGAGGGGAGCAAGTGGCCAGTTTTAAGTTTCTGGGTGTTACCCTAAAAGAGGACCTGACTTGGGGGTGCTCACATTGCAGCCCTGGTCAAAAGGGACCAGCAGAGATTATACCACCTGAGGCTTCTCAGAAAACAACCGAATGAAAAATTGCTGTTGACTTTCTACCGCTGCACCAGAGAGAGCATTTTAACTTCCTGCACCTGTGTAGGGTTTTTGCCAATTGCACGGGGGCAGATAGGAAAGCACTGGGGTGGGGTGGGGGTGTTAATGTCATTGCCCAGAGGATCAATGGGTTGCCCTCTCTCCCCTCTCTGGAAGAGCTTTATCGCTCCAGCTGCCTTAAGAAAGTTCAAAACATCCTTAAAGATCCACCTCATCCTCAACAACCCCCCCCCCTTTTTTTGAACTATTACTATCTGGCAGACGGTACAGGAGAATAAAAACAAGGACGAAGATTCAATTTATTATAGGGCTGGGATGCCTGGTATGAGTGGGTTAGAAATAAAAATAAAATAAAATGGCAATTAGGAAAAGAATGAGGGAATATATAAATGTACCATGGAGAAGACTGACACGTAAGGATAAAAGAATAAGTTAAAGGAATAAGTAAATATGTATGCTGAAAAATGTGAGGAGATGCAAAAGATGTCTTGATGTGGATAACATTGTATAAAGTTTTATTTTATGTTTTTAAAATGTGGAAAATTAATAAAAAAAATTTTTAAAAACCAAGGACAAATAGGCTGAAAAACAGCTTCTATCCCAGGGCAGAAGCTCTGTTGAAGTCTGCTGTAGAGTGCAGTGTTGGGTGTGGTGTCAGGGGATTTTCGGTTCAATGGGTGAAGGGCGAAAGATGTGCGTTTGTGCTCTTTATTTTCACGGTCATGATGTGCACTGAAGATGGTGTTGGATTTCATTGTAGGAGGTGCAAGGACAATAAAACTAAACCAAACTAGAATGATGACAAAGTTAACGTAAGCGAACTCAGTAATGAGAGAAGTATTTGGAATAACACGCTAAAATAGAAAACGTGTAAAAGCATCGCTAAGATAACGAACTGGATACAAAAACTGAACATGCAACTAGGGTCATAGGTGAAACCTGTAATTGTGCCTGTTTCGCTCGAGAGAGATGTTAAAATGTGGGAAACGGAGTAAAACCGGTTTAGAGAAAGGGAGAGCGTACTCACAAAGGTATCTTCTGTTCAACATGTCGAAGACCCGCCCGGGAGTCCCCACAATGATATGGGGCGCCTCCATCTGCAGCTTCTGAACTTCGGCCCGGACGTTCGTCCCTCCTATGCAAGCGTGGCAGGAGGCCCCCATGTAGTCGCCAAGAGCCATTACCACCTTCTGGATCTGGGGGGAGGAGGAGGAGGCCGTCAAGAGATGGGGAGGGGGGGGAGAGGAAGAGGAAGAGGAGGCTGGGCGCCCTCGAGGAAGACTTCCCCTGTTTCCCCAGCATGAACCAGCCGCCAGCCACTGGGAGAGATGCTGGGCTGGGATGAATGAGGAACAAGCTTGCTGTCTCCCTGCTAGATGTAAGAAGGCGCCACGGCCAGAGGCTCTTCTTTGCCCAGTTAGCAGGGAGGGGGGGCGGGCGGAGGGGGGGTTGCCAACAACTGGTGGTGCAATTCAGATGGAGCGTTCCAAGCACGCGCGCACACACGCACACACACCCACCCCGGTCGGTTTCCCAAGGGCTCTTTCGACACAACTGGGGGCCTTTCGTGCATTCAAGGAAGGAAGCTGGGCAGGCAAAAAGGAAGGGAGGGAGGGAGGAGAGAGAGAGAGAGAGGAACAGAAAGAGGGAAGGAAAGACAAAACAGAGAGGGAGAAAAAGGAAACAGAAACGGAGGGACGAGAAAGATGAATAGGGAGAAAGAGAGGAAGAAGAAAGAAAGAAACGGAAAGACACACAGGAAGAAAGGAAGAGAGGAAAGAAAAAATGGAGAGAAAGACACAGGAAGAAAG